GAGACTCAGACACTACAGTCTTGTTGGTCTCCACATTCATGCATCCCCCACCCTCACACCCACACCCCCTCACACACACTATTCATGCTTTACTATATATAGAATATTCACCTCTCTAAGAAGAGCATCTTAGTACTGCTTCTTAACACAACCTGGTCTTTGTGTACAGTAGGTACAAGTGGGAGTGCAAGGCATTATATTTGACACGATCACCTTTTCAACGTCCAGGGCCAGATGTTTAAACAATGCTTACACACAAAAGCCATGTCTTCGCCATTTTCCCACACCTATACCGGCATTATCCATTTAAAAGAGTGTGCGCAACTCATGCATACTTCAGACCAGGCGTACACATGTTTTATAGTCAGCTGCAGGTGATATTACATATAAGAGCTGCAACGATTAATCGATTGCTTGTCAACTATTAAATTAATCAGCAACTATTTTGAAAAAAAGTCTTAATTCTCCGATTCCAGCTTCTAAAATGTGAATATTTGCTCGTTTCTTCAAAACAAGACATTAGTGATAGACCGATTAATCGGTTGCACGATTAATCAGTTGGCCGATAAATCGGGTCGATATCCGGCATTTTGAGAAAATCAGCATCAGCCGAAACCTGTACTCACGAGGCCAATATATCATGCTAAATGACAGCGGATCTAGTCTAAAATGATCAAATATTGTTTTACTGTAGAGATTAACGCAGCTGAATGACAAACTGTACCTCACTCTCCTTTAAACATCAGTCACGTTTTGAAATCTACAGCATAAGCCAATGTATGTTTCTAATTTTGATTAAAACAACATGTTAGTGTCTGAGATAACTTGTGTATTATATGGAATAATGGAATTATACGTGGCTTTTCTTGGTTTTGATGTCAGCATTGTATATCAACCATCGGCCGCTCTGCTCTCTCAGCATCTGCGTCGGCCATTGAAAAACGCATATCGGTTGACCACTGCAAGACATTTGAGGAGGGCATCTTGGGAAACACTGATCGAAAAAAGACATTTTATAAACCAAACAACTAATCAAGAAAAAAATCGACAGATGAATCTCCATGACAACAATCGTTTGATGCAGCCTTGCAGACTACCCTTCTTTTCATTGAAACATCCACAGAGTGGTGAAGCAGGCAGAAGTCTCGATATGTAAACAAGTGATTCAGGGCGTTTCGTCCATTTAAGGCGAACTGTAGGAGTGGAAATGAGGCTTGTGCATGTGAGCCAAGTTCCACAGTGACTGAGAGTTCTTCAAACTAAAGCAGTCGGTACATGCTGGTTCATGAATCTGAAGTAAAAAAATGTATCTGCGCATTTCTCTTTCTCAGTTCTAGTCGTGAATCTGCAGAGTTCAATGCATCTGACTGCTGGAGAGGAACTAATACAGAGCAAGAATCACCAACATCAATACTAACACTGACACTTTTTATTATTAAAAGCAGAAAAATGTAATGTAATAATGTAGGGAGGAGCAATGTGTCTTGATTAATGACCTTAAAACACTATTTCCATCCATTAGCAATACTCTCTTAATCCTCACAGGATCACGAAGAGCTGCAGTCGATACCAGCTGACACTGAGGAGACTATTTATCATTTCCTATTTTTTCAGAAAGTTATTTGTTTTGCCATGTAGTCAAATTATCTTCAGTAGCCCTGTGGATGATTTTTCAATCTTTGTTTTCATCGCATAATACAATGTTGAAAAAAAACTTCTTTTAATGTTTTTCCTGTGATCAAAAAAGAAATCCTGTAATAGACGAAAGCAGCTGCAGCTCAGTGGTCTGAAACTGTCTGCTGGTATTTGACAGGAATTGTATCCTCAGGACTTGTTTTTCAAAAAGGGACCTAGACTCACAGCTTCAACACTCTGAAGCTTTAACACCACAAGTCTTTACCTGTCTCTAGGTTGTCCTAGATGAGGCAAAGACCAGTGTGTGTGTCTTATGTATATGTGATTGTCTCAGGGCTCAGTAAGCCTCTGTGGTGTCTGATTCCCATCCTGCAAGCCAGCTGTATTTTCCCCCTGTAAACCCAAACACCCCTCCCCACCGTCTCCACATACACAAACACACATGCACACAGACTCATTCACACTCACTCTCTCCGTCTCACACACTCTCCTCTTGGCCCACAGAGAGACGTAAGGCTGGAACAAACAATTCAAGTTACATAACCGAAGGCGACAGGCCATTTTCAAGCAGGGTTCGTTTTACCGAGGAGATGCTGTGTGTGTTCTACGATGTTCTACCTGTAACTACTAATATAGGTCATCCGCTCATTTTTAGTAACACTGAATAATGGCAAAATGTTACACATAATCTCGTACCGACGACAAGAAATAGTAACAGAAATAATAGTATATGAAAAGTAATTTCTAGGAGGCAGGGCTGCAATATTGAACACTTCGCAGACGTGGTCAAACTTTTCTTTACAGCTGAAATAATACAGAACAATAGGCTATTCAGCAACTATTTTAATCATAATCATCGCTCATCGTCATCAAATGTCGAACATTCACAAATTCTAGGTTCCACATCGTTGGGATTTGCTGCTTTTCTTTGTCTTATGTGACAGTAAACTTAATGTTTTCTGATTCTGACGTGTTGCTTGAACAAAACAAGCTATTTTAAGTTTTCTGCTTGTGCTTTATGAAATTAAAATGTCGAAACTTTACAGATTATGTTGACAATAATTTGAGAAATATTACTACAGAACAGTTCAAGGTTGGAAAAAAAACAGAAATACAGCAAAAAAAATGTAAGACACAAAACTATAATAGAGTCTGTTAACATATAAAGCAATTTTATCACAACTAGTTTTGTGCCTATGTATACCCGTATACCCGTAAATCACTGCAAATATCAATAATGTATATGGTCCAGACATGAATGAGATACTGTGTGAAAGCCCCACATGAGTTTGTCTCTAAATGATATATTAAGTTAGGCTATCCTATAAATAAAACTTGCATAACTGCACCATAAAACTAAAAGGGAAATAGTGGCGATAAAGTAATTCCCGACTGAAGGAATCAACTCACTCAAATTACTTTTATCATAAATTTTAGTTTCCATGCTCCGAATTTGGCTTCAAGGCCCAAAACTTTGTACTGTTAATCTTAAACCAAAGGCAAATTCTGAGTAATATAATCTTTTCTTTGTAAGGTAATGTTTCTGCTGCTCTATCACACGTGGATAGCTTTAAACCTTTTTTTTTGCATTAAGTCAACTTCTCTTTAAAGACACATTTCCCTGGTCGTTCTGTTGATGTGAACTCCAGAGCTCAACCACTGTAAAGCTTAAATTAGCTCCCAGCGTGTCCTTCGTCTACAGAAAGCTGGAGTAGCTGAGCTGCTAGGTGAGCTGAACTATAGTTTCCAGAAAAATCCTACTAAATTGATTTTAAAATTATGATTTAGACACCTGCTGTGTTGTCTGCACGTGTTGCTTTATGTTCTTACAACTTACATTTACAAGATTTGAGCAAACTATTAGATCCAGACGGTTTGTATTGGGGGAGGATATGACTGTGTACCATAGTAGACCAACAGATATTCTACTGATCCATGTTTCATTTTATGTAATAATTGAAATTACATGTGTGGTATAAACTGTTAAGGGAAGTGTGCAGTCTGCAAATTCATAAGAGCCCCCCCCCACCCACTAAACACTGGGTGTTTCTTTTGAAGGTAACACAGTTGTTGCTATTAGGGCTCATTAGCCAGAGCTGTAATCTTAGCCATCTCAGATGTCATTAACTGTTTAAACACCCTACTGAGCAGCAAACCTTCTCTGGGATGTCCTGATCTTCAAAAGAAATGTTTATTATAGTTTCATTATAACTGTCAGGCATGTCAATTTGTCCCGCCAGACAATCACTGTTCAGCAAAGCGACCTGTCCGCCAACAAAACACCTTAACTGTTAGTTAAAAACAAAGTACCAGCTTCTCTCTCCTCTCCTGTGCATGCTTTGATATTGTGCATGTTTGGTAGGCATGGTGAGTCCTTCAGCGCTACATGGGCCAAATCGAGTTCCCTGAATTTGGATATTTACTGTGCCGGGGCCTCCAAATGAGCTTTTGTCAGTGAGGTCAGAATATTCAGCAGCATTGCTGGTCATTACTGATATAAAGAGAAAATGGTGCCTTCACAATAAGTCAATGCTCCAAAAAGGTGTCTCTATTTAGTACAAATATGACCCATGTCTTGCTAATAAAAACTCCTGAAAGACAGAAACAATATTAAAATCTTACGTATAAACACTATAACCTCTATAGGATCACAAACATTCACCAAAAGCAACTCCTATTTCCAACCTCTTCAAAAACATGCTGTTTTTTTTCCTTTTGTCATTTGCAGACAGAAAACTAATCTGCAACCATTATTGTGGTAATTTATCAAACAAAAATGCAAAATATTCTCCATTTTCCAGCCTCTCAAATGTGAGTTTGTGCTACTTTTCTTTGTTTCATATGATCCAAAGTGAATTAAACAAAATATATATTGAGTTTTGGACTGTTGGGTCAGACAAAACAAAACACTTTGAAGACACTCATGGACTTTGGAAACTTTTTCTGTTGTTTAAATGATTAAACAATTATCAATGAATGGAAAAAGTGCTGAGTTCAGGTGCGTTTCCGTCTTTCCAAGTGCTCATATCTTTAACTTTACATGTCTGTCTTTTCTAAAGACATCGTCACCATCGCGCTAAAAAATATAATTAAGAGGAAAAGAAACGGTGACATAAGACGATTACCAGGCTGAGAAAAAGTTTCATCATGGACCCCAAGGCTCAAGTTGTGAATGGAGAGCCGGGTATAGCACTCACACACACTGAACACATTACCCTCCCCCTCCTATCAACTAAAGCCCCAATCAAAGTGAGATAAAGGTGATTATTTCCCACTGAGAAGCAACAGAGCCAAACACCAGGCCCCGATCGATCACTCTCGCGTTTCCTTTACCTCACCCAATCAATCCCTAATCGATCACTTACATTGGTGTACAGCGCGCAGTCCATTTCGCCGGCTTCAGACAGCTCGCTGAGGTTCCTGTCCCAGTGGAGAAACGGTTCACTACTGTCCAGGATTTCCATGATTCCCTCCGCGCACAAACTCTCTCTGTGGCCTTGTGGATGGTTTTATTTTCTCCTCCAGCAGCGACAGAAGAAGAAGAAGAAGAAGAAGAAGAGGCAGCAGCGGGTGTTTGATGCACTGCAGTCAGACTGAAAACCAAACTCAAGCCGGGTAAAAAGTTTCAAACAACTTATACAGTAAAAAGAAGTTAAAAAAATAAAATAAAATACACAAACAATATATTAACACATCCAGGTGGTTTAGACTCAGAGGGATTTCCGTGGGTTATGTCAGAAAGCTGCAGCAGTCAGATTGAAGCTGAGTGTTGTTATTGTTGTTGTTTATCATCTCCTCTCTGGTTCAGGGGTGTACGAGCAGCTTTTAGCAAACTCTCCTTCCTTTTCTTTCCTCCTGCTGCTCCTCCTCACAGCCCAGACACACAGGAATGTGTGGGCGGAGTCACACAGAGGCAGACAAATTAGATTAAAACATGAAAACAAAGTCAAGAAATTCAAGAAATTAATAAGATAGTACGACTGTTAATGCAAATGCTGAATAAAACATTAGAGTTTACATGTAGGATATATTTTTTATCTGTTCCAGCTGTTTATGACAATGTCAATTGTCTACATTAACAAACTGAAGCTTCCGGTCCTACATTTCAGAATAAAAACACATGCTCGCTATTGATGCAGACAGCAAATTTAAAATTATAGCTACTAAAGATAAAAATTTGACTTTCACTTTTAACTTACGAGACAGCCTCAAAGTCAATGAGGAAGATCGTTTGATATGATCAGAAGTCACATAACAGACACAATATTACTCAATGGACTTCTGCATGAGTGGTCAGTTGTTCTGTGAACTTTATATCTTTTTCTAAACTTTGTTGCTATATTATGATGTTTTTAGGTAATAAAATTCAATGTTTAAGCCTTTAATTGAACTGAGATAAAACATTATTTTGACACCTATTGTCAACATAAGAAAGTGATTAATTGTCTTATTTTTATTTCTCATTAATTACAAAGAAACTAAAAAGGTTTAAATAAGTGTAAATTACAAAAATTAAACATACACACACACAAACACACACCCTCTAGTCTTTTTGTTATATAGATGTATATTTCAAACTACCAAAAGTATTTTTTAAAGAAATAAAAAATATTTCCATGTATTTTGTCAGCTGTTCTTTTTGGCTTTTATTTTGAATTCCACTTTACTCATTTCCGTCATCTTGACGCAGGTTCTTGAAACTGAATCCACAGGTTTCCCAGCCCCGCCCACATTCCGCAGACCGACCAATCAGATCACTTCTTGTTTAAAGCCCTATCGACTGTGCAGCTTGACCCTCATGAGCCCTTAACGGAAAGGTGAAGCAGCCAATCAGGTAACACTTTGAGAATTCCTGCGACCAATCACTTTAGGCCAAGAATACCTTTGACTTAATCCCGTCCCCGTTGTCGCAGAAAAGGCCAATAAACGTTCACTAATGAAAAGCATTAAATAAAGTTAACATGCCACAAGAAATTCTTTCTTATATTTATATTTTCTTAAAATAAACTTTAATATAACTTTATGAAATTATCTGGCATTTATTTTCTTTGATTTTATGATTTATATGTTACATTTCTACGTTTGTTTTTGAAGCTTAGATGTAACTTTTCTCCATTCGGTCCTCTATAAAAAGCTTTGTTAGTGAGTGAAGAGTTATCACCGTTAAATTAAACGTACGTTTAAATCACACATGCTCTGAGATGAACACAAATGTGAAGACAAAAATATTCTGGAAAAAGGTCTATTACAGCAAACAGTACAGAGAAATGAACCAGTGGTGAGCTGAAACCAACCAGTCACTGAGGAGGAAGGAAATGAAACACTAACAACTGACAAGAGAATGACAGAGCAGAAAACAAGAGTAGATAAAATTTTAAAATCTATCAAATACACACAGTAATGTTCGGTTATTACTATGCACAATTCAGGAACAGAACAACAAAATGCAGCAGAAACAGAAAAGAAATTGTGAATTTAATTGAACGTGCCGCCTCCAACTTTGCATGCTGGTCTCTTGTCTTTTTTACACTGAAGTGTTTGAGTAATCTACACATTTCTCTCCAGTTCATGACATTTGCATGAAGAGAAGTGAAAGACAGCTGACATTTGTCACAGAGGTCAGTCAGACAGCTACATAACACTGTTGGTTTTTCTCTTTATGGGATTTGTGAACACTCAGGTAAATGCTGAATATTGACAGGTTTTATCCTCTAACAAGCTCTTCGTTTATCCTTTAAAAGCCCTCTTCACATGACCAAATGTTACTTTATCTCACACGTGTCCACAAACTTCTGAGTAGCATGTTACAACATCAGTGCAGCACTTGAGATGCGAACAGTGTGTTTCCTTTACAGCAGCGCTCTCAGATCAGCCAAGCGCACAGTTCCACGTGTTGAGTAGAGCATCATCACTTGTGGTTATTACAAGCTTTATTCTTGCAGATGAGATGTTAAAATTTAACTCCACAAAATAATAATAATAAATTGTCGACCTCCCTTGGCTGTGCTTCGGGTGAGCCTTTCTTTTAGAGTTAGGAGGAGACATTTTGGTGTTGGTATAAGAGAGCTGTTGGTCATAGTTTGGTTGTTTAAGTTGGGTGCTGAATATTAAATATAGACACTCCTGTAAAACAAAACACCTTTTTTTTTTGAGTGTCAACTATAGGAAACAGCCCTGTTTTCAGCTTTACGATGACACATTTTTCAGATAATCCAATGTTTTGGGTTTTTTTAAACAGGTGGTTATTTGAAGAACATTTTCAACACTTTAGTTTATCTAGAAAAAAAACAGCTCACATAATCGGGCAGAAATTATGTGACATAAAGAGCTAATTTTGCTCCGACTTTGATGCATTTATGATAACTTTAAAATAAAAAAGACATGGGGGGGAAATATAATGTGAAAAGTTTAATATGCTGGCTAAAATTAACAATAAGTCTTAACATATGAGGGAGCTTGAGAAGTTGTTTTACAGGCGACATCTGGCCACCAAAGAAAAACCAAATAACGTTTGTCTGTGATCTTCAGCACGAGTAAGAGTTGCTCTTAACAAAGCTACAACTTCGACAACAACTTTTTTCCACTGTATTATAATATTTCAGATCTTGCTTCCAACATTACTCTCTCACACACAAAATTTGGGTATATGCAAAAAAACCAAAACTATCTTTGCAACTGTTATGTACAAGTAGCACTATCAAAAATCATAATGAGCAAGTGTATTTATACTACACAAGTCCGTCAGCTTCTCTTCATGCCTTAAGGTCTGCAGGAGGCATCACAGTCAAACATGACCACAGAGTGTCACAGCATATTCTGTCCCCCTTCTCATCAGTAAGTCAGTTCCTTTACTTGGTGGTGTTCAGGTCCTCAGACTTATTTTTGTATAAATGAGAAAATACAAAAAGAAGTTGACTTGTTTTTGCTTGGAGACAAGAGAAAAGTCCTTCAGGGTCTGTCTCGAATGTTGTCGCTGAGGAAGATGATGTTGTCTGGAAAGGGAGAGATTGGGAAATAATTTTTATAAAACGAAGTTGGCTCATTCACGGTGTCCGTTAGAGGCTCACGTGTTTGTTCTCTGACCTGCGATGATGGTGGTGGCCTGGCGTCTGACTTGGTTCTTGTCCACATACTCTCCGTAGTCCAGTTTCCCCTCCACTAGAATCCTGGACCTGAAGAGGAAGGGCTCGGGATCGGTCACATGATTCACACAAAGCTTTAAAAGATTGAGTTTTTTGTTTAATGGCTGCTCATTTTACATTTTTACAGTTCTGCATTCCCCCATTTCCACAGCCACCCAAATAAAGGGCCTCTAACTTAAATGGGATTTCTACCTGGACAGCTTTCGGCAAAAGTTGTATGAACCTCCTAAATATGATTATGATGATAAGATTGTGTCTATAAAGTTATGATGCATCAGCTGACCTAAAGCTTTTTTGTCCAGATTAAAATTTAGACCTTCAAATAGAGAGTTACTTAGAGAATTACACTCTATTGTAAATCTACTTTAGCATCAAATCAAATTTCCCTGTAGGATTGAAAAATCTGTAAATTAAGCTTTATGAAGTCTAGATTTTGTTGTTGATTCACTTTTGACGCAAGTGTCTGTCCGACACAAAATTAAAGAAGTACCACAGCATACATAATTCTACGTCAGCGTATCAATATATGTGATGATATATTCATGTTTCCTGAAAATCAGTGGAAAAACGGTTAATTGATAAAATAGCCAGATAGGAATTTTCTGTTATTGGCTGATTCAGTGAATCTGAAACATCATCTCATTGATGTTAAAACCAGATAAAGTCTAATAGCACTGCCCACAACAGCTGAATACAACCCGAAATATTACAGGGATGGAAACCACGGTGTTAACACTACAACAACAGTTCGTATTGTCCAAACTTAGCCATGTCATGCAAAGTGTTTCTTGATTCCTCGCTGACAGAAAACAGCAGCTGTTTTCTTCTTAAATTAGATGTGAGATCTGGAAACACACGAAGCATAACATACAGATGCACAGCGGTGAGGTGGATTATGCTGCAGAGGAGTGGTTAGAGACTTTTTTATGTCTTTATTTGTGTTATGAAATCACCGCAGGAATCCTCTGCAACTCAAATAAACTCTAGCTGACCGCTGCTACTGTTTGGGATGAAGGGGAAAAACTAGATACGTTTCAAGACGTGTGTAGTGCTTTAAGAAGCTGAAAATATGTGTCGTAGCGTGTCACGTGAGATGCCAACACGAGGGTGTCTCGCCCCTGTGATGAATAGTGCAAACGACTTCCATCCCGCAGGAATCCCACAGGAATACCGTGACCCACAGGATTCCTGAAAAAATGTCAGCCTCCAACGCCAACCACATGACCAAAACGCCTCTGGGAGAATATGTTGCGCGTCATCCCCGTCTCCGCCCACACTTCCTGTCCGCCTGTCTAGGAGTACTCAGATCCTTTACTTAAATAATACCACAATGTAAAAACAAGTTAAACTTGAACTTTACTTGAATAAATTAGTACATTTTTTAAAGTATCACAAGTACTCAATGGCTATTCGGAGGGTTAAATACCTTCAAGGTCCTGAAAGATGATCATTTGCACACACAAGTTATTATTTTGACTTCAGGGGCCTTTACCACAAAGCAAGTTCAACATACAGGATTTCTTTTCGTTATCTGGCTTCACTAACCCAAACAACTGGGATCGGGATAAGCTGGTTATTAACTCGGTAAATCAGCCCAGGGTTTCCCCAATCCAGCCGTGAGCGCGTTCACATAAAAGACACAAGTCAACTGGCAGCAGAGCGGCATATTTCATAAACAAAGGGAAAACTGTAATATTTGACACTTAGTGTGACACATGCAGGAAGACAGAAAATCGCCGACAATGAATGCCTAGGCTAAATGAATCGGTGTAGTCTACAATCATGTGTTGATTGATGTATTTTTATGGCATCTATGAAAATATCAGTCTTATTCTTTCCGCTTGGCTGCATGTTGGCGTTTCCACATTAAACGACTCGGGCACTGAAGAAGTGGTCGTTCCACCTCACTTTTAAGAACGTCTCATCACTTCAAAAATGAGATTAATTTATTTAACTCAAATGGACTCAAAGTTTCCCCAACATTGTTGTAAATTAACTTCATAAAGCAAGGAAACAAAAAATCCATTCATGCCATAAAATGTGCTCAAATAGTGGCTGAAAGACTGAATCTCAACATTTAGGCTGCTGGAAACTCTGGCACATTACCTGCGACCACATCACAAAAGGTGACATGACCAATCTCTGTGATATAAGATAGCTACTAACCTAAAACAAACACATTCATATTAATTTCAAGGCCTACCAAACTATATGCTCATAATATTCAGCCTCACTAAGAAAAATGAAATCCTGCATCAGGCTGTGTGAAGTGGACTTGGGAGCAAATAAAATATATAAAACTCATTTCAAAGCAGTAGGTAGGCTTACTGTAAACAATAGTAGCTTACACGGGACTCTGCGGGATCTCCTACAAATGGTGATGTCATTTCCCAAGAGAGTTGATTGGTCAGTAGGCGGCGTTTTTATAGAGTTGATCTCTTATCTGTAATGTACCCTGCTCTGTAGCAGGTTAGCCGTTCAGCATAAGTTACCATGGCGATCTACCCCGGTAAGAAGTGAACCGCCGCCGCGGGACTGATAACCCAGGGTTAACCCCGAAGTTAAGCTCAGATCCTGCTTCGTGGTACAGGCCCCAGGAGCCCTACTGTTTATTTTGTTGCGGGGCAATTTACACGTTTATCCTTCTTAGTACATGACAACGTCACGTGAATCCCAGCAGAGAAAACTCCAACCTGAGTCGGTCTAATCAGAAGCGTATTTGAAAACCCCTGTGAGGCTTTGATAAGCTGATCATACATTTTGTATGTAAAATCAAAAAATAGTTTGTAACTATATAATAAATGTAGTAAAAAAGTATAAAAGACTTGTCTCAGAAGTATAAAGCAGCATAAATTGGATATACTAAGTACAGAACTTGAGTAAATGTATTTAGTGACTTTACACTATAATACAACAAAATGTATTCATTGTCTGGTCCTTGGCCCGTACAGGGAACATGCGGGTCGTACCCTTTCTTGACGTACTGGTAGGCCACGTCTCTCAGACCGGGTTTGAACACCGACACGCGATGCCACGTCGTCTTCTGACTGATGTCACCTGGAGTTGCAAAACAGCAGCACACAAATCAATCAACCTTTTGAGGAAATTCTGAAAGAGAACACTGTAAAAACGCAGATAATGAAAAAAAGTACATGTAAATACAACTGTAGAGTAGATATTTGTACCATCTGTCCCTGTTAAAGCTTACTGAAGCATTCTACAGGCTGTCTGTAATGGCTGTGGTGAGGAGGACAGCCCATTAGTTATTTATACTTTTCAGTGGTGAATGATGCATTACGGTTGGACAGGGACAGACCGAGTCTTCCGGTGGCTGTTTATATGGTAATTTAAAACCTTGAAATCCAACAACTAGAAGAGTGCAGATCTCTGCCAGGTGCGTCTGGGGGAACAGGTTTTCTTATAGACGTATGCAACCTTTTTAATAAAGTGGTTGTTTATGGTTTACATTTCTTTAAGATGCATATAATATTGTAATGGTATTGTTGCAGAGCGGCCCGGGTTCACCTAACCTTAATAAGGAAACAATTAAGGGGACACAAACTTCTGAATTTAAACATTCTTATACAACATTTTGTTGTAACCACCACGCAAAATAAAACTCCTCTTTCCCTCCTCCCAAACAAAGAAGACAGTCCCTCACAGTAAAGATGGCGGTGAAGATAACTGGGATTTTTTCATCTTTCATCTTTTCTCTCACATACCGTGTATAAAATTAATCTGCAGATGCTTCGGATAAAGATGAGACCAAACTCCTCTATGGATGTCAGTTTTTGAGCCACGAAAAATGCCAAAATGTGGCCTGATTATTATTTTTATTATTTATTTATTTATTATTATTATTATTAACAGATTAATTAATCCTTTTTTTTTTTAGCTTAACCAAATACCCAAAAATGCCTTTTGCTATGACGTGACGGTGAATACTGCTGAAAAACTAAACCTTACCTTTACAAAAGGCTCAGTCAGTAAAATAGGTTATATAGTCTATATATAAAATATTAGTGGTATGCAAGATTAGCTGTAAAAAACACACACACACACACACACACACACACACATGAAAGATAGATAATAATAATCTATCATGTGTTCACTTTCATCAAGACAAGTTAGAGTGTAGCATCGACCCCTAGTGGCAAAACATGACATCTGAAATCAATAAGGTAGAGAAGATCACGACAAGAATTTATAGTTAGTCACAGTAATGTCCAAGCATCCGGACCATAGCCAATTAAATCTTATTTAGCTCAGCATATAGGTTAATATTGGCTGCCTTAAATTAGTAACTTCATGTCAGTCTAAACTTAAGTGCCACAAAAACAAACATTACCCTACAACAAAGTTTTACAAATGAACCATTACGGCCTTTTTATTTACTAAAACCCTGCATCTCCAGGATCGTAGAAAACCCGCCCTGTTCCCAGGTTTGTGACAAATAATTTTTCCAGGTGTTTCAATGGTTTATTCAGCCCAAGAATTTTCTAAACCCAAAAAGGCTAATCAGCTAATTTGGGAATGGTTTTCAATCTACAGCAACCAACACAGCTCCTGCTGACATTTCAGTGTCAAAGGATGTTTCCCCCACGACCCTGAAGAGCAAACAGACTGTTTTATTCAGGCTCTTGTCCTTCGGCAAGCACATAATATGACAAGTGTCTGGGAAGAGGAATGTGAAGGCGCTTTGACTTGCAGATTCAGCAACTCCAACCAGACAAATGTAGTGTGGGAAAAATATGTACTCGTGGGTAAATAAAATGTCTTATCTCTTTATGCATTTCATCTACTATTGCTGCCACGTGCGTTTTCTCTCTGTCCCGTTACAGCTGAATTACATTTATTTCTAAAATCACGTAAAACAGGCTCTACACGAAACGAATCCAGCTATTACCCAACAACTCTGAGGTGTAAAGTTACTAAACTCTGCCTTAACTAAACTATAGCCTGGATTTTGGTGGAGAGTTTTATTGTCCTAAAATGTTTCAACATAATCCAAACAAACAATAATATTAATGCTGTTTTAATTAGTTAATCAAAATTCAAACAACCCCACTCCCACGATATGAGCCTCAGTCTTCAAATACAAAAGGTCAGTCTGAGCTGGGCGATATGGCTAAAAACGTTATCACGATAAAATGTTTCATTTCTTTTGATATCGATAATTATCACGATAAGTGTCAAATCATTATTTCTTTCAAGTTTAAAGGCTGATTTGAAGTAAAAGCTTTTTCAGTCCTTTTTCCTCAACAAAATAAACATCTTAATAAAAAAAATATATCCTAATTTGTGTATGATTCAAGTGAATAAAGTCAAACCTTTATTGAACATTTGTTATATTGTTATTGGGAAAAAACTTATATTGCGATAATTATTTTTATTGTTTTATTGTCCAGCTCTTGTCTGACCCGTATTGGTTTCCTTGTTTTGAAACCAAAATGGTTTCACTGAGGTTTTTTGGAAAGATTGTAAAACACTAGCAAAATGACAAACTGAAGTGTCTCCTCAGGTCATCAGATGGTGGTTTTGGAACATTCTAGCATTTAATCACAAAGTACACTGAGTTTACTGTAATGAAATGTGCTTTATAAATATCACTGCTCTGCCTTCCTTAAAGCTGCAGTTGATGACACTTCAGCATACGATGCAAAACCTTCCACATCTCCACCAGAAGGAGCCGGATGCCCTGTAAAAACTCAGCCTGCATCCCCCTCTCTGCAACGCTTCGCGGCCCAGGGAACAGCGGCCAAGACTTCAGAGGCAGCTGCGACGACGCCCAACAGCGGGACGACAGACTAGTACACCACTGCCTCCGATTTAACCTGTTGTCACAACGCATCTTTGTCACTCGTAGCTACGAGCGCCATGGCATCGAACATAATGAGCCCAAAGCTCCGTGTGGAGCCGGGACGTGATCACACGCGTGTTTTGTACTAAAGGCTGTTGTTTGCAATGGCGGGATGGGCCGACTGGTGGTTGTTTCTCATTGAGTTTGCAAAACTTCTGGAAATAGTGAGCTTGACAGAGATAGAGCATGTGCAGCGTGTGGACGAGCAGTGACAGATCGCTCCTGGCTCTGATTGGTTGTTTTGACCCGGGAACAGTTCTTGGAAATGACATTAGGAGCAGATTATCTGTCTCATGTACTTCTGTCAGGATATAGTGACAGTTTCAGCAAATATGCCAATAAGTTATTCTAGAAAAGTTACCTACAGCAGCGTTTTTCTTATCTATTTCTATCGAGTGTCTTCTGACATCGTACCTGTTGTGCTCATCTCTGGGTCTCCAGAGCGCCACATTTCATTGGTTGCTAACGAGAAGATGGTAACAGGGTTACGACCCTCCACTTGTCTCATCACTGGGTCCTGACCCACTCGGCCCAACAGCTGCACCCGGTTTATCGCTGGAATAAAGAGACAGAGATTCCCATAGATTTACTTGACAGGAGCAGCAGATATCCTTCTCCTACAGTGCACACAGACAGTTTACTCACATCTCTCCAGGATGAGGCTAGTGTCAGTGCTCCTGTATCGCACCACCTGTCTGAAGATCTGCAGCGGGATGAGAAATTCAGAAAGATCAAATATTGACTTTGTAAAGCCATTCGTATGCAGAGCTGGCGTGCATCTTCCTGCACACACTAGAAAGTTTTTCTCCCCTCCTTCTCATCATCACTAGCTCAAATTCTACAATTCCTGTTGACTACTTTTCTTTTCTTTGCAATGCAATACATAACATTCAGCAACATGAGCATTAGGGGTGTGACGACACACTCGGCTCACAAAACGATAACGATATCGGGTTCATGAGAACAAGACTGTTTCCACCGGGTACCCAAAATGCTACCACACAAATGATTTAAAAGTGGCGGGGGCATCTTCTATGCTAACTTCACCCTCACACTCGGTCATGCTGATATCGTGAGACAGCTTTTCACCTCAATGAAAAATATTGCCAACCGGTCGAGGCAGATGGCCGCCCACCCTGAGCCGTGGTTCTGCTCGAGGTTTCTGCCTCTTAAAAAGAAAGTTTTTCCTTGCCTCTGTCGCCTAGTGCTGCTCTTGGAGGGAATTGTTGGGCTTCTGTAAATAACATCATAGAGGACGGTCTAGACCTGCGCTTTTATGAAAAGCGCTCTGTTGTTGTGATTTGGCGCTATATAAATTAAATTGAATTGAATGTCTGATCAATACAACCATCAATAAACTCGCAGGAGGGGCTCAGGATGGTCTTTCTATAAATGTACATAGATGGAAGAAATATACAGCCAGTATGATAAATCCAGTATAGTAATGATCACTTCTTGCTCACCTGTGCTGAGGCACTTCTCAACATCTTCTCTGAGGGGGAAGCAGTCAGCAGATAGACGGCAGCTGAGGACTTTTTGGGGATCTGAGCCACTCAACAAATCTGAGGTAGAACATTCAAAACAAATATGATGAAAAATATATAACAAATATGCATGTGTAAAATAAATTAGTCTTTTTTTTCAGTCCCATTTCCTCAACAAAATAAATATTTTAATAGAAAAATTAAGTTCTAAATGGGACTTTATTAAAATTCAAGCATTTATTGAAGATTTGTTATATTGACGAAATTTTAATGTCGAGCCTTAAATGTGGGTAAACTATACATCAAAGAGGGTAGACTTTTCCTGTTCACCCTAATTGATTTAAACATGATAAATAATAAAACACCTCTCAGCATAATGTAATCCAACTCATCAGCCTCAGGAATGACCATACAGTTGTATTAACACCTCTCTGAAACAGTTTCAACACAATCTACGACATTCATAAATGGTAGGATTTACTGTTTTATTAGACTAAATTAACTTTAGTTAGGTGTACCTAACAAACTGGCAACTGAGTGTGTAACAGCAATAGTATAAAGCAAGGGGCGTCACTTTGTGTTGAAAAGTGGTGGAGAAATGGGGGCTCACATCACCATACGCAATATTATGGTTACGAGAACCAGACGAAAAGATCCTTAAACAGTGTTTTAAAGATACCCTGAGTGCCGAGATATATGAGTGGGTGTCTGGGGGGGAATTTTGATCATTAAAACACTTGATTTCCTGAATTCTGGCGAAAGTTTCTGCACCAATTTATGGCGGAAATGTTTTTATTTATGTAAAAGGAAAAACACACAAACTCAGGTAGCACGTGACATTTCAAAATATATAAATATAATAGAATCTAAGTCAGTGCAGCTCTCAGGTATTCTGTGTTGCTTTCAGATCCGTTTCTCCTGTAGATCAACTTTTCCCATGTAATCCCATCATCATCATCATCATCATCATGTAGTCCCTGCTGAGGCAACACGTATGCAGGCATGATTTATTTTTCATTCCTTTTTTTTCATGTTCACATGGAGGGAACGTAAAACCTGGCCAAAAGAGAAACTGCATCAAGAAGTTGTTCAAGTTACTGACTGGAGCTGCACGTTTTTGAGTCAATTTATAATCAGTAGTTTGTTTTTTTATGCTTAAGTTACTTTTTTGGACAACGCACATTTGTTTCTTTTATATTTTAATTGCATTGCTTGCTTTCTGAAACAAATTATGCTTTAAAATGTGATGGGGACAAAATCAGTCATTTCAAAAAGTGTTGTGGACACGTCCCCAGTGTAAATGACACCCATGGTTTGAAGTTAGCTAAAATTAATGAAAGGCAATATCTGGTGGTGGTGCAGTGGTTAACACTGTTACCTCACAACAAGAAGGTCGTGGGTTCAATCCTGGTTGCCCAGCCTGTGAAGAGTTGTCATGTTCTCCCCGTGTCCGGGGGCTTTGGCTTCCTCCAAAGACATGCAGGTGAGGTTAATTTGTGTCTCTAAAATTGTCTTTAGGTGTGAATGTGAGCGGTTGTTTGTCTATGTGTGGCCCTGCGATGGACTGGCGACCTGTCCAGGGTGTACCCTGCCTTTCGCCCGATGTCAGCTGTAACCCTGTACGCAGTATAAGCGGTTGACAACGGATGGATGGATGGAATATCATCTGATTAAAATTACTTGTACACAAGAGTACCAAGATCCCGACGACGCTGTCATTGTCAAGCTTTGGTACTTCAAAAGCCAAACTTGAGGTTATTTTTTTTTAATGGAAGGGTTTTAATCCTGCAATTGTCTTCCATCATAAAAATGATCTGCGATCTGTTATCACGATAAAAACATTTCATATCATTTGATATCGATAATCATCACGATAAATGTCAAATCGTAATTTCTTTCAAGTTTAAAGGCTGATTTTTGCTCCTGACTGAAAATTGAAGAAACCAGACGGTTAATTATGTGGTTAAACTTTTCTTTATGGTCAGAATGGGACAAACACTTGATGCCAAACAGTGAAACACAACAAATCTGAGGGAGAATATTCAAAACAATGATTAGTAAATCTTTTTTTCAGTATTTATTGACGATATATTGAACATTTATTGTATTGAGGTAAATTATATTGGGATAATTATCATCATTATTGTCTTTTTGCCCAGTGGTTGAATTATCTGACGTTTTTATGTCACGGTTACCACGAGACTGTGGTAGAGTTGAGTGTTAACCGACAGGCGAGGCAGCAACTAAAATGAACAGATTTTAGCACAGAGGCTGGTGAGAGTAACTTAAAGGTTTTTAAAAAGGGAGGTCAAGCTGAAGAACCAAACCTGTGAGCACGGACTCAAAGTCAGAGCACTGCTGTCTCGCAGCAGCAATGAGGCTTCTGGAGTCTCCCGCCGTTACATGTCGACATGAAACAAACGTTCAAAATTAACGTTTTCTCCGCATGTTTTGGTTCACAGGTTACAGCTGCTGATGAAGCAGACGGGCGGCAGTGTGTTGGCAGAAAACGGCGTCAAACGGAGCTAGAAGAAAGAAAAATAAGCTTGATGAAAACTCACCAGGTGCGAGACTCCTGAAAAGACTTCTGTAACCTCCGGTCCGTCTCCAACTCAAGTCCGACAATCTACCGGAAGTTCTTAAGGTTCCGCTTTGCAACTTCACACTTAAGAAGTCATATTTACGTTTCTGAACTTAAAATAATCTATGTTAATATTATAATATTATATAACAATAAATATTCTATATGCCAGTTGTATTTTTACTTACCCGGGTGATGATCACATTGTGGAAAAAGGTAACTGTAGGTCTACCTGTATACTATTTTAATTTGGATTAAGAGGGACATAACATTTAGTGTGACAAGATAATTTAATGAAGCAGTTAAGAGAATTTGCCCCCTTTTGCTTAAAAAATCTTTATTGAACAAGAAATGTTCACGCAGGGATACAAACTTTGTTATTCTTGGAATCATTTGCTGAGTTTGTTCTTCTTTTTAAGCAGGTTAGTTTTGGGGGTGAAATTTACCATTATGCAATAAGAGATATAAGAAAAACATATTGAAAGCTTTTTATTCAACACTTAAATTAATTTGAACATAATTAGTGTGTGCATGTGTCTTAATTACTGTAAGTCATAGTACTGACATAGCAGCAAACATAATAATACATTTTAACAAAATGTGCAAATGTGCACCAACTGAATGTGTGTGTGCGCGTGCGCGTGTGCACCGTCAGGGTGCTGATAAACATATGACACTCCTGGAGTGCCGGCCTTATTGGCCCACAGACAAGCCTACAGGTCTTAAACTAACATTTGAAAATAAAAATAAAACAAACAAACATTACTGACTGTTTCAGACACTTACTGAAATTCAAAGAAAATATATAAATACAACTAATAATTTTCATTGTTTATACAACTAACTAGCTCACCTTGCAGCTTAAAGCTAAAACTTTAGCACAATAACTTGCATGAAAGATATCTACATACACACACTAAACATGATTAAGTCTGATGAGTTTAACTACAAAGCAGGAAATGCTATAACAAAAATAAATAAAGGGGAAAAAAATCCTTTTTTACCTGAAAATTATTATATACCTTTTAAAATTGGCTTTTCACCATGTGGAATAAGGACTGAACTGAGCATGTGCACAGGTGATTTGTAATTGGACAAATTGTAGATGTTATAACTGACTCGTGTTAAAACAATCCCCGGTCTCCCCTACACATATTCGTCTGAAGACTTGTTTTCTGGTTTTTCCTCTCTGGAGTCTAACCAGTACCAAAGAATAAGACAGCAAAGGTCCATTAAAAGAAATGTTCATTCAGACATAAGAACTGGTTTCAGTTACTTTTACTCAACTCAGATGATCAAGGTCTGGTGTTAACACAGACACCTGATCTGCAATTTGTGACTGATGATTAAGTTGACATTGACACTGCGATTTACTGAAAAGGGAAAAGAGGTGTTTTGCCAGCTGGTTGTTGTACTGCAGGCAGGCCAGCAGGAGGCGACAGCGCTGGAATAGTAGAACTGACTGAACAGGACTCAGAAGGTCTGACAAAACCAGAACCACCTGCCGGGCCTGGTAACCAATGAAGGCCAGCTGCAGGGAGACGAAGAGACCAGTTCTCTGTTTCAGTTTTAATTTAGCAACACACAGCTCTTTTATTATGACTTTGCTTGCCCTAAAGTACAATCTAAAGCAACAGTAGGGATGTCCCGATCAGGTTTTTGGGCCCAGATTCGGATCAGAGTCCTTTAATTATGGGGTTTCTGTTGATATATGTAGTGTTGATTAAATACATGTATCTGGCACACCACAATTATGTGCCTACTACTACGACAGTGAGAAAGTTCACAGGTGAGGATGAGGCTGCAGGATCCAGCCAACAGACAAGACGTTGTCAGCAGAGGAACATTTGGCGGCCTAAAACACAAAAAAGTTTCAATAAGGTGTCCTTTAAAATAGTACGTATTTAGTATTACTGTACTACTTAATGTATTATTATTATTTAATATTTATCAGAATACATTTTATTACCAAGTAGGTTTTCACTGTTTTCCAATTTGCCTTGGTGTTTGGTGCATAAGCTACAGTAAACATTAAGAAGAAATAAAAAGACAGTCAAAGTCCTGCTGATAGTTTGACTGGTGCGGTGGGCCTACACCTGTCAAACATTAACTCAGGTGTCCTATAAGGCGAGCTGAGGTAGGATAGAAACCTCCCATGGGGCAAAAGGGCAAACACTCACTTGAGCTTGATTTCATTATGAATATAGAGAATAGAAAAAATAACTAAATATGTACAACATATAATAACAATAATAGGCTAATAACTATAATATGTAGTATTTATTCTTGATGAAAGGTTGGCCCCTTTTGATATATTGCACTTTTTTGACCGGGGATAAAAGTAACACCTTTTGTTTAAGCGGGTAATTCCTGCATTTTAGCTCTGTGTCTTAGTTAATGTCTTTATACTTACTCCTTGTTCTGTGTCTGCTTTCTTTTGGCTCTGTCTGCTCTGTGTTCTGTTAAATCATCCTTTCAGTCTGTTTTCCATGTTGGTTGGAGTTGATGTGTATTATTTGTGATCTGTCTGCTTGTGTTCTGGGTTAGTTCATTAATATTATTCTGATCTGTTCTGCCTTATTTTGATATTATCGGTGCCTGCCTTGGTTCTTGTTTGATTCTGTTTCTACCTGGTTATTGTTATTAGTTTCCCTACTGGCATGATTGGTTTCTGTCTGTTGTCGGTTTATGTTCCCTGCCAGCTTCATTTATTCCTTTGGTTTTGATCACTCGGTGTTAGTCTGTTCTGTCTCGTGCAGATGACTGTATTTCTCAGTTACTTGGTTTGTCTTGTCTGCTCAGGGTTTTGAGTTCCAGTTAGAGTCTTGTCTTGTGTTTTGTAACCTGTTAGTGTCAGTCTGTTTTCCCCTGCTGTCTCTTTGCCTGCCTGTGTCTCATTAGTCTCATCTCTGTCACCTGTGTTGCTCGTTAGTACCTGTGTATACATGTTTCCCCTCAGTCTTTGTCTGGTTATTGCAGCGTGTAGCCTATCTTGCGCAGTCGTGTCGTCCTGTTTCCCTGCTTTCTGGATTTTCAGTTGGATTGTCTTGTTTGTTTGGACAGACTGTGATTATTTTGGATTTCTTTGGACTCAACCACTCAAGTTGTAAGTGTGCTCACTTTTTGTTTGCTTTAAAATTAATCTTTGAACAGTACCTGCCAGTATTTGGGTCCACCACCCTGCTCAACCACACACTTACAACTACACAATTTACACAAGAACTTTATGGAACAATAAAGAAGACACTGTTTTGAACAAACAATTTAAAGTGACTAAGCACTTTTTTTTTATAAAAACTCTACATTAACTGAAACTGTATATGTCACAGGTTCAATCACTGTCCCAACTAGGGCTGTGCGATATGACTAAAATATCATGTCCTGATATATAGGTAATTTCATATCCCAATAACAACATACATCCTGAACATTTTTTGTAACATGAGAGGAGATGAACCCAGAAGAGCACAGCAACTCTACTGCTTATTTGCTTTGCTTTAACCGTCTGTCTTGTGCTTCCATTGCCTAGACATGCTGGAAAAGGTGAAAGTACAAAACACATTCTGAGTCATAAAGAACTGGTTGTAACATTTTTTCATGAACTGTTACAACCCTCCCCCCACAACAACCAGCCATTACAAAGCTACCTGTTTAAGACGATTTGAGCATTAAGCGCTTAATTTCCTGCATTCTGGAGACATTTTCTGCACCAATTAACAGTGGAAATGTCTTTGTTTATGTAAATGCAAACAAATTCAGCTGGCAGGTGACAATTCATTAATGTAACAGAACACAATGCAGTAATCAGCAGCTTGTTTTTTGGCTTAAGTCAGGGTGAATTGCCCTAATGTGGGACTTTTTTTTTTTTTGTTTTTCGGACTTGTGGCATATTCAATGTATTAAATCAACACACAATTTAATCTTAAAAACCCCAGGATGTATCCTAATCAAAGCAAAAGAGACTGCAACACATTCCTAATGGAAATGACAGCCACATTGGTGCTCTTATTGCAAATTCTTTGAGACAGCTTCCTAAAGTGGGACAGGCGTGTCCCTTATGTGGGACACTGAAAGTCTATTAAAAAAATCACCTTAATTCTCATAGAATCATAGGTGTCATTTATGCTGGGGACATGTCCACACCACTTTTTGAAAGCACTTGCTAAAGGTTTTCTGAAAATTCGCTTGCAACAACAAATGTTTAATAGCAAATAAAAATTCTGAAAGGTTTACTAACAAAAACATGAAATGCAATGTAACTATAGACGAAACAGATGTGCCTTGTCCAAAAAGGTAACTTGGGATTAAAAAAAAAACAGGCTGCTAACTACTTTATCTTTGAGATTTTTATATTCTGAATTGTCACCGGCCACATGAATTGTTTCCTTCATATAAATAAAGACATTTCCACCATAAATTGGAACAGAAAATGTCCCCAGAATGCAGGAGATTAAGAGTTTAATGCTCAAAATCCTCTGGGGAGGATCCCCAGACCTCCCCATCGAATAGCCTATTTCTTCAATGAATATTTCTTATAAATTGGACTGTCTTGTTCTCGTTACTACAATATTGAGCATTATCACGTCTTGTGTACTAATTGTTTCATCACACCCATAATCTGAGCCCTTAAATGTAACTATTTGTATTTTTCAACACAAAATAACGCCCTTGCATAGAATATAAAAATGTTAAGTTTGTAACTCTCTGTTATGGATGAAAACATTGATAACTGAACATCAAGAAATTCATCATTTGCATTTAACCCATTCCCTGAAGGGAGCAGTGGACAGCCAGGACAGAAATCAGAATTCCTGACTCTAGTTTTATTTTTCTTCACAACAAACTCAAACAATGCTTTTTATCCTGCCTTTTCTCTCATCCT